GCTGCGACTTTCTTGGTCGCGGTCAATAGAGGGGAGAGGGAATTGAGGGAGAAGAAAAAGAAAGGAGAATGGAGGAATGAGAAGGAGAGAGAAGAAAGGAGAGAGGAGGGAGGGTCGCAGATGTGGGGGGTGGTGGTGGTGGTAGTGTAGAGTGATGGGTGGTGGTAATAATAGTGGTGGTGGGTAGTGTGTAGAAGAAGAAATAGAGAATTTTTTTTATTTTTTTAAAGTTTTTGAGATGTGAAACACAAAAACAGTTTTTCAAAAAAATGTTAAATCCAAATGGAGCCAAAAGTTTGGCTTAGTGATGCCTCGAATATTAGTTAAAACAATTTATAGTGAAAATTATAGCTATTGAAAATTATCTTGTTAAAACAATATTGGTTTTTGTAACCCAATTCAAGCTCGATAAATACCAACCTGGAGTCTAAGCTTAAGCCAATTTAGTGAATTGTGAATTTGTGAGTCAAGTCCTAATACATATACACAAACATATATATATATATATATATATATATATATATATATATATATATATATATATATATATACTAGGACTCGTATGGTGGGCTTGACCCTTTACATTTTTAATAAATTTCTTATTAATATTAGGGTAAAAAATTAAAAAGCCTCTTGTGGTAAATTTAATACACAGAAAAACCGCTCCGTGGTTTCAAAAAGTATAACACAACACCTGATATTTTGAACTAAATTGTAAAGATAACAAAATCCATTAAACTTAACGGAAATGGACGAAATGATCAAAATGTTCTGATATAATTAAGCAAAAGACAGTTCAAAAAAATCATTTGTTTTATTCTTTGGATAGAAAGAATTAAGGGTTAAGGGTAGAACAGGTATATTTGCTAAAAATTAGGTATAAATTTTTTTTTTTTGCTTCCAATAAGTCATTTCCGTTAAATTTAACGGATTTCGTCACTTTTACAATTTAGTTCAAAGTATGAAGTGTCATGTTATATATTTTGAAACTACAGAGGATTTTTCTGTGTATTAGACTTACCACGGGTTTTTTTTTATTTTTACCCTTACTATTACAATTTCATATCTTTATTGGAATAAAATGTCTATCATATCCATTTAAAAAAGCAAAAAAAAGTATGAAGACAAGTCGAGTAATAGACATCCTAGATGGGAATCTAGAAATTGACACTTTTTTAATTTCTATTTGAATTCAACTGAAGTTAGAACTTGAATTTTACTAAACTCGAATTAGAATTCAACAAGTTTTACATTGAAAGCTCTCAAACTTGAATTTGCTAAAATTGATTCGAACTAATTAAATTAAATAAAAAATAAACCCCACTCTACTCATTTGCAAGAAAAGGAAAGAAAAATTACTTGTTGATTAGATGGGATGGGATTCTCTGCAACACACATATCTGCTCACCAACCGAACCCTCTGTAGACCAAATGCCCAAATTCAACTCTTCACACGCTTCTTGTCAACATAACCGCCCACTCCCACCCCCCGTCGTCTAAACGCCGAGCCCAGAAAGGAAGGGGAAAAAAGCAAAGCAAAAAGCGGGATTAATTTTGGTGGTGGGGTCAGTGAAGTGAAGATGTGCTATGGAGGCGAAAGGCTACCATCCAAAGAAGACTTCGATGTGAATGGTCCGACCCGGCCCACCACCGCCGCAGCCCGATTGGCTGCCGTAAACGAGAACGAGGCGGTGGTGGAAAACCTGAGGGACAGGCTAGCTGAGACGGAGGCGCGGCTGGAGAGAGCCAGGGCTCGGGAAGCCGAGCTGAGCCGGCAGCTGGAAGAGATGAAGAGGTTCGTGTCGGTGATGGAAATCCTCGAGACTTATCTAAAGCGCCGGTATAGAGAGCAGCAAGACCAGCTCTGTCGCCTCTTTTCTCCGGTATCAGCTAAATCTTTATAATCCCAGTTATTGTATCGAAAAATAGGGAAAGAAAAAATAATAATAAAAGAGAGACCCTGTTAAGCGAAAAAGAGAAAGAGAGTAGCTTGGGTAATAAATATTTCTTTTTTTGTTTTTGTTTTTAATATTTTGGTTGGATGTATTATCAGTAATAGCGATGGATGATTGATGCGTGTTATTTTGTATAGTCAAAATTTGTAATTTCCCACTGCTTTTTTTTTCTTTTGATTTTTATCCCAATGTCTCTGTATGGTTTATACATTGGTAATTGTCTCCCCATTTATTCAAGTCAATGTTTATGATTTCTGGATGCTTGCCAGGGTTGCTCATATCCTGTTAATTGGATGGGCATCGACAGAGAGCCACTTTGCTTGGTTGGGGAAGGGGGATTTTTATGAGAAAGATAGGAATTTTGGCCGTTTGAATGAGAGGTAAATGATACTTTATATGAAAAGGCCGGTGCTTTGTTAGTGATTTTATTGAGTTCTTCGTGGTTGAATTGTTCTTTTCTGCTGGGTTAGGAGTAAGCAGAAGGGAGTTTTTGGTGGAAATCAGCTATTGTAAGTTCTTTGTTGTTGATACGCAGCTAAAACTTCAGTCTTCTCTACGTTTTCAGAGTAGCGTACCAGCACATAGTATGTCCTTTTCTGTGGAAGCCTGGAAATAGAAGTTTGTTTTCTTGATGTTAGCTGTATTGTATGGTCTTTGACAAGAAAGCACTGTATGGATACTTGTTATAGTGTACTAGTTCTAGAATTTAGTGTTATTTTGTTTCATAGAAAGTTAATACTGGGATTTGTTTTAGGTGTCTCTACCTTGCTCAGAATACCTCAACAGGTCACCTTAGTTGTGCCCAAGATCATGAAAGATATTGTTGTTTGCTGATTTGTTGTTGAGTTCTTTGTGCTGTCAGTAACGGCTTGTGCATCGCTAATGGGGTTTCAGCACGCATTCTATGAGCGTAGACACTTATAAGACTGAAAAAGTTTGCTCCTTGGAAAAAAAGTAGCTTGTTAAGGTACTTAATGGCAGAAGTCTCTTAAATAAGATTGCAACTATTGCAGTAGACCCTGCCTCGTACAAGAAAAGGTCATGCACAAAAGTGATACCTTGGGAATAAAGATATTGGAAGCAACATTGCAAACAATACACTTTTTTCACTTATTTCTGACTGTAAGACTTCCTTTGATGCCTTTTAGTTTTAATATGTGGGTGCATTGATTTGTCCCTGTTAGGCAATGGGATGACTTTTTTTTTGCCTTAATATGACTTGTTGAGGTAGCTTTCCTGGCATGTTAAGCTTTTAGATGTGAGATTGTTGTTTATGGGATAAAGGTGCAGTGGATTAGAAATTTGCACACTTTGTAAGGTTTTCTTGTTTTTTATTAGGAATCGGCAGATGTCTTTACAATTTTGTTATCATCAACTTAGATAGCTCCAATAATAAGAAAATAGCTTACATCGTGAGTCTTTAAGGACACAGCTTTTTAGAACCAAACTTGACCAGTTTGGTGTTCTTTGAGTTTTCATAGTGATAGAATGGCTTTCCTCGTTCGTTCTGTTGAGTTGAAGACATAGAGGAGCATCTTAAATCAAAGTTCCGAATGCGTTTCTCCACCCTGTTTTACAGTGTTCCATCTGGTAGAAAGAAGGAAAATGTGCTGATTTTGGTAGTTCAGATCATTGACCTTTGTGCAAAGATGAGAATATGTTGCATGAAGTGCTTTCATTTTATTTATAGAGACCATACCTAGTGGGATCTTGATCTTAGTTCTGTCAAATCATAGACTTTATGTTAGCAACACAGGGGAAGGACTAATAATGTAATCTCGACGGTGGTTTGTGAAATCACTTTAGATTAGTAGATGGATTGCTAAAGTAATAGCATGAATTGCATGATTGGACTCCCATCTAAGGAAAAACCTTTCTGCTCAAGACACTTAAATTCTCACATTCTTGCTTTAGTTGCTAAGTTTTTAATACCTTGTGGCCTTTGTGAGACCAGCCTCGTAATCTGATTGCTGTGGTATAACCTGAGACAAGATCGCCTTTTGTACTATTTGGACTACAAAAAATTGGTAATATCTGTACGTAGTGAGATACGTTTGCAAATTTAAAACACTATAGTAGTTCCCCTTAATCCAGGTACTTGAGGGTGGAGTTCTTTCATCAGCTGGGAAGAAATGATTGCCAATTGATAACCTTTTCTGACAGCCATCGTTTAGTATCTCTCTGATATTTTCATCGTATATTCGTCTTTAACTTTGCTGAATTTTTGCCCTTTGTGTTTTTTTTTTTGTTGGGGGGGTGGGGGTGGGTAAGTGGGGGTTGAAGTGGGGAGTGGTGTTGGGGTTGTCATATCTTAGATTGCTAAGCATCAGGAATAGGGCCAGTTTCAGTTGCTCTTTTGTCGCCTATGCTATATCTTTGAGCTTAGCATATTCCGGCCTTGCGTAGGCCTGTCTTCAGTTTTGTCGCAGAAATTCCTTTTGAAGTCAAGATCAACGTCTTGCATGCATCTCATGGTATCCACAAAAGGTATGAACACCATTCTTGAGGCAAATATTGAGCCAGTCTGCTCAGGCAACGACATACTTAAATTGTATGTCGTGCTTTCAATTTAACTTTTTTCGACATCCAGGTTATGATCTCAATGCTAACAAAGAATCTGTTGCTCGCAGAGGTTTTTTCCTCCCCCACCTTCCCCTCAGAGGTGGTTTATATCATAAAAAAACTCATGCAGCATCTTTTGTGTAGCATTTCCTCTACAGACAATTAGTATTGCTATATAGCAAGTTCCAGGAGAAATGTACTATCGAGTAATCCAACTTATTTTCACCGTTATTGTGCTTGCTTGTGGAGCCTTATTTTAGAGTAAAATTGCACTTTATTATTATTATTTTTTTGTCAATCGCCACTTTTTATCTATAGCATCCTACACTATCCTAATCTAATCTAAGGAAGGGGGAGACCCAACTGCGATTGAAAATTTGCACTTTACTATCAAAGTTGCACTTTACTAGCCTTCTTAGAGATTGAAAAACTACTCTGCTGGATACTTGGAGAGTTGGATAACATAAATTGTCAGCGTTGTTACAGATCAGAAAATTTATTGTGATCTCATTTTCCTGGGCCATCTTACAAAGAAACCTCATTCAGCAACATGTCAGAAAAGACCTACCAAAGCTACCGAGGGAGTGGGTTTAAATTAACGTTAGAGCCAACATATTTTCATTATTTCTACTTTAATATCTCTACCGAGTAGATTATTTGAAATAATTACTTTAGCATTTTTTATGATGTGATATATATGAAATAAAAAGGTAATTGAGAAGATAAAAAGATGTGTTGGAAATTATATTTGTGATGTAAACAAATAATTTCAGGCGCTATCCAAGCACACCACTTAGTTTTGGGTTTTTAATTTGTGTTATTTACGTTTCAACAAATTCATTTAACAAAAGAAAAAGTGAAATACTATAGTACCAATCAGTCATACTACTATATAAAACCTAACACCAAATGTTGCTGTTAATGATACACGATTATAGCTGGAAATGTTGCTGTTTTTAGAGTGTAAATTGGTAGAAACCGACATTTCTGGACGCTATGATCGTGTCGGTGTTCGAATGGATGCCTAGAAAAGAAAATGGGGCATATTCCATTGCTTTGCGGTCGGTAGAGAAAGAAATTAGTACTATGGTTAGTTGGTGACAAAACTTTTTGTTTGGTCAATGAGCATAATCTTGTATCTTTATGCTTAAGTATTTCAGAGACCATAATTACCACTGATTGAAATCAAGATGGTATCATTAAAGAGATTCAATTGAGTTCCCAGCTGGACATCCAATAACTGAAGATCTTATCAACAACTAAAGACTTCTCGACCTTTCTTCCTCTCTCATCAATATATCTTCTGCGGTTTCCACAGCATATTTTCCAATTAATGACCAAAAATGAAGAATTAAAAAAAAAAAAAGGGAAAGAAGAAGAAGAAGAGGACGAAGAGAAGGGGAATCATACTTTATTCTGCTCATTCGCCTGTACATGAAAGTTTGAGCTTGCTTTCATAAATCACCTTTCCTTGAAGAGAAAATTAAAGGCCTTAATTGGATCAAGAATCAGTTCCATCAGGAAAAAAGACCAAATCCTGGTTATCTCATCTAAAGTCTCCTTTTGTTGTTGCTGACTGTGCACGTCAAAGTATGGACTGTAAAAGCAGCAGCAAAAGCTTTAAGTCTAAGGAAACCTTTCCAAGAAGAAGAGAAAAGCACATGATTGCTGTTTCACTCTCATCAAATCAGCTTAACCTAAAAGAAGAAGAAGAAAAAAAAAAAGAGGCAAACTGTTTACTTATGAGGGCGTTTGATGCAATGTGTATTGGTTCAGGGGCAGATATTAAAAATAGCTGAATTAATCCTTTTCACATCATTGGTATGACATTCTTTTACAACAAAAACAACAAAATATGCATGTATCAGACATTATTGCCTCCAACATGTGTTTACTATAAATTGTAACCGCAGATTAATATTTTTAAAAAGAATAAAAGCATTGTGAATTGTTATGAATGTTATTATAGCGTAAATCTTATATACATCAATAGTGTATACATCATTAGAATTGTATTCATGACATATGTGTAAAAGTTAAATTTCAAATTCAAATTTATCATAGTTGACGTGCATCTAATGCTGATAATGTATGCATTTTCAGTATAAGAAATATTAATCTATTATTATAACTTCATTTTGATTTGAGAAACCTCTTTTGGTCAAACATGTAAGGGAATAAAAAGGGATTAATGTCTATTTTGGTGCATGATTCCCATCCTAATTTTCAATTGCCAACTTGAGATTATGAGATGTTAGTACCAAAAGGATTCACGAATCAAAGATTGTGGTTTTTAATTAATACTAATAGAATATTGGACATTTCATCTGCCTTCACGGTGTGTGGAATTGCATGTTTGATACATCACAATTCACACATGGACTTAAACAACAATATTCTGATTGTGTTTATATAGTAAAATTATGTCAAATATTACTTTACTTGTATTATAAACATAATTTTTAATCAATTTTTTTTCTTATTAAATTTTTTTATTTCACACACACATCACACATACAAAAATATTTTACAGTAATTAATTTAAATAAAATATTTCAAATAATATTTTATCAAACACATTGGTAATATATTCCAAATGTTGCAGAAGGGCATTTATGTAATTTGATATGCAAAAGCTGTAAAGTCAGAAACTTTCGATAGGTGCCGGAGAGCGGCAAGCGGCGAAAAAGACAACAACCGATGAGAAGATGGATAGATGCCTTCACTCTCAACTATTCTTCACTCAGTAGCTCCCCACTCCCGTCAGCTGTCACCGTCAACTACGCCATCATGACTAACCACAATGACGCCTTCTTCACTCATAAATTCTTACTAATGTCTTCATTAACCACGCCTCTGTTCTTCCTTTACTTTTACTCTATATCTCTCTTCTTCTTATTCTTCTTCTCGCTAATGTATTAAAGGACCAATCTTTTCATACTATTCTTCATTCTTTGGCTTGTTCCAAGTGCGACCCATTTGAGGAAAAGTAGATATGGAAGGTGGGTCGAGCTCAGAAACCGGTGAGAAGGTGGATAAACAAAAGGGTCTCAAGCTGGGGTCTGTTTTACCAAATATTGAGCCCTTTATGCCAAGAAAGAATTTTTATGATCCCAGAGAGCTAAGATCTTGGGCTAAGAAGACTGGTTTTGTGTCTACTTTTTCTGGGGAGACTGATAGGGGAAGTGTGAGTGGGAGGAATGTTGAAAATGAGAGTGAGAAGTTGGATTTGGAAAAGGTTATTGAGAAAAAGGAATCTTTATCACCAAAGATTGAGATTGATCCTATTCTGGGGAGGACAAGGAATAGAGGAGTGGAAATTGAGCAGGATTTAAGGGTTGGAAATGGGAGGAATAGGAATGAAAGGGATGGAGAAATTAGAGATGAGAATCAGAGGAATAGAGCTGGTCTTGAGCCTAAAAATGAGGAGAGAAGAGATGGTTTAAATGGTGCTGGAAATGGTAATGCCAATGTGGCTGTTGCTGGGAATGGGAATGGGAATGGAGTTCAGCCAGCAGCTCAAGTTACTGAGCTGAAAAAAGAGGATGGAGAAGGGGATGGAGAAATGGGATTCCTGGGAAATCCTGATGGTGAAGATCCAAGTTATGGAGGATGGCATCGATCACCTAAAATGAAGTGTGGGCTAAGAGAAAATCCCGGTTTTGGTTAGTATGCTTTTGTCCTAGTATACAATCTATCTCTTGTAGCTTAATGAGCAGTTGCAGTGATTGATTGTTCCCAGTCACTCATTCTCTAATTTACTTTTTTATTTTTGAGTATTTACTGCCTTTGAGTTTGATATGGAGTTAACAACTTCGTCTTAACTTGGGATATCTCTATGACAAGCATGGCAGAAAGATAATAATTTGTGTAGCTTAATATTCCTTTTATGCCAATTTTATTAGTCGACTCTGAGACTAAGCAGTGACTTCATAGACTGCAAGCCCTTTAGGGCATGCTCATTGCCTTTGCTTTAGCCATCTCACCACAAATTTGTTTTTTCTCTAGAGCTGGGAATCAGTCACTTGACCAAAATCATTTAAGGATATGGCAAATAACAGTCAATAGTCGTCCAATTATCCTGAGTCTGCAATGTTCACCCTTCCTAGCAGCAAATGGGGTTACCGTTCTGCTTAGTGCTTTGAGAAACCTAGTGATGCATCCTTTAGTTTGCTTGCCAGTCTTGTCACCATTATTAATGCTATAAAAAAAAAACTGGTGATATTTCTTGATCTCTTTTGGTATTTTATTCTGAAACCTTTTTGATGGTAACATTGAAAATGCAGATCTGGTAGCTTTTACTCTAATTCAATGAGCATGGATTAGAAATTCTCCATTTGCATTGTCCTTGCTGACATTTCTGGAAATTTTAACTAACTTCTCTTGTATAATTCTTCACTTCAACCTCAAACAGTACCACTTATATATTATGGGCTGCAACACTTCTTGTCGTTGGCTGGTTCACTCATATTCATTCCATTGATTATCGTACCTATTATGGGTGGATCTGACGTAAGAGTTTCTTGTTTTCCTTTTTGTTTTCAATATCATTTTCAAAACAGGTACTTGTATTAGCAGTTATCACTGACTTTTTTTCCTTTTTGGTTGAATGAATTACAGAAGGATACTGCTACTGTAATTTCCACAATGCTGCTAGTCTCTGGCATTACCACGATACTTAATTCATTCCTTGGAACGCGGCTCCCATTGGTTCAAGGGAGTTCATTTGTGTATCTTGCACCCGCATTAGCTATTATGAATTCTCGAGAATATCGAAACCTTACTGAACATGTAAGTCTATTTAAGCTTGAATTTGGTTAGAATATCCTCATGTAATTTAGATCCATGATTGACTTGTCTCATCTGCTCTTTTAAGTCTACTTCTAGTATGGATATTGAATGTTTTATTTCTTGTGCACAGAGATTTAGGCACATAATGAGGGAAATACAAGGGGCCATAATTGTTGGTTCAATTTGTCAGAGCATCTTGGGTTTCAGTGGTTTGATGTCCTACCTTTTAAGGTAATCTAAGGTACTTCTAACAAATTGCAGTTAGAAGCAGTATTAGATTGTCCACCCCGATTTTCCGTAGTGCTACTCTGGCAACCATAGATTTATGATAACCACCAAGTAGATTATCACGCAAAGTATCTTATGTGTCCTTTTTCGGTAATCTATCAACTTTCCCAAAATAAAAGGAAGAAAATAAAAAACAAGTTTCCACATTTTTCTTCATTTGAGCTTAACTTGTTTTGGAGATCTCACAGGGTTAATTATTGTGACATTATATTAACCAAAAAATTCTTGCAGATTAATAAACCCAGTTGTGGTTGCACCAACTGTAGCTGCAGTGGGCTTAGCATTTTTTAGCTATGGCTTTCCCCAAGCTGGTTCTTGCGTGGAAATTAGTCTCCCCCAGATAGTCTTAGTTCTCATTTTTACCTTGGTAAGCAACCTCCTTAGATAAAGCTTTAGCTAAGCTAGATTTTTACCGTTTATGATGGTACATTTGAATTCTCCAAGTTCAATTCTGCTTAATTATTGTTTATGCCTCTTGAAAAAGAAGATATTGAAAGAGGAAAAAATTAAGTGAATTTCATCTCATTTTCATACACTAATGGTTGCAGTACCTTCGTGGGATATCCATTTTTGGACACAAGGTGTTTCGAATATATGCAGTAAGTATGTTCTCCTCAGGTGCTAAATAAATGTATGTAATCATTTACTCGTCTGATCCATGTGATCCACCTAATCCTATTCTTCTTGGCTCTATCATCTGGAAGAGGAATTAGTGTACTACAATTTTGCAAGATATACAAAAAAAAAAAAAACACTTGGATTAGTTTCATAAAGTTGCCTTTTGCTAATGTTATGATGGGTTTAGCAACTCTTCCCTCTGCTGAAGTGTTATTCTGTCATCTGAAATGCAGGTTCCCTTGAGTGCTATAATTATATGGGCATATGCTTTCTTTCTTACAGCTGGTGGAGCATATAATTTCAAAGGTTGTGACCCTGACATACCAAGTTCCAACATCCTAATAGATGCCTGCAGAAAGCATGCATACACAATGAAACATTGCAGAACAGATGTTTCGAATGCTATGAGAACTGCTGCTTGGGTTAGGATCCCTTATCCCCTGCAGTGGGGTATTCCTATCTTCCGTATGAGGACATCAATCATAATGGTCTTTGTGTCACTGGTTGCATCAGTTGACTCGGTAAATATTTTTTTTCTTGTAGACATACATCCAGTGCTATAATAATAACTTTTGCCAAGAATTGATTGATCTGCATCTTGCAGAAAGTGATTTGCATAATGAGAATAAGAAGAACATTTGCTTTGGTTTTAGCTGTCCAACCAAAACTTTTTGTGGCAGAACAACCTCTATGGTACATATAGTTCATAAATCCACTAAAAAGTGTTTTAGCACCAAAATCATATATCCTTGGCTCAAGGCAAAATTACCCTACTCCGCTTCCACCCAACCAACCAATGACCAGAAAAAAAGGAAAAGATATATTCCTGGAACTGGATTTTTGTTCCGACAGTTGAACTAATGAAGCAACTGCAAAACTACAGGTTGGGACATATCACTCTGCATCTGTGGTAATTAACCTGAAGCCTCCAACTCCTGGTATTGTGAGTAGGGCTATTGGTTTGGAAGGTTTTTGTAGTTTACTGGCCGGGCTTTGGGGCTCAGGGACTGGATCAACAACCTTGACAGAAAATCTGCACACTATTTCTGTAA